TCATTGCCTGTGCCTAGAAGCTGGAATACTAACCCTACATTTTCTTGAAGGAGTTGCATGGTTTCTGGTCTAATTCCTAGGTCTTTGATCCATTTTGAGTTGATTCTTATGCAGGGTGAAGGATTAGGGTCTAGTTTCATCCTTTTACATATGGATAACCGGTTTTCCCAACACAATCTGTTTAAAAAGCAATCTTTCTCCAATATGTGTTTTTGGCACCGTTGTCAAGGGTCAGATGACTATGTCTGTGTGAGCTTGTCTTTGTGTCTTCTATTCTCTGCCATTGGTCTGTCTGTTTTTATGCAAGTACCATGCAGTTTTTGTTACCATAGCTCTGTAGTGTAATTAGAAAGCACATGTTCTAGTGCATTCAATATTCTTCCTTTGGTTTAAAATTACTTTGGCTATTCTGGGTCTTTTATTCTTCCAAATGAATTTTAGACAGTTGTTTTTTTTTATAGTTCTGTGAATAATGTCTTTGATTCAAGTTGTATTTTTATCTGGAGTTTGAGGCCTGTTCCAAACTCACATAACTGGCAGAATTCAGTTTCTCATCATTGCAGGGCTGAGGTCCCTGCTTCTTTGCTGGATATCCACCAGGGACTTCTCCCAGCTCCTGGAGGTTGGTCCCATTGTCTGCCACATGTGTTCTTGCATAGTTAAAGTCTGGGAAAGAGACTCTTCCTCTTGTCAAATTCCTCTCAGATGTGAATTATTGTTCCAAGAAAAGCTGAGAATCTTTGAGGAATCACTTGATTAAGCCATTCTTTAGTTCCTCAATGATAATCCCCCTTTTTTAATGTCAACTGATTAGAGACCTTAATTACATCAGCAAAATCCCTCTTCCAGGTGACACAACATACTCATGGAAATGAACATATTTACAGTCTTATGCACAAGAGGAAGGAAGTAAACAGGTGTGGGTGTTAGGGGCAGAGATTTGGGAGGCCACCTTAGAATTCTGGGTTGGATCAAATAACTGAGAACTATAGCTCAGCCAAGTTGACACACCAAAAAAAACGATATAGTTCTGAAATATCAAGTAAAAATTTGGTTTGAATTTTGTGTTGTAAATTTTATTATGATCTTCTTTTGTAGAACTGGTGTTCTCTGTTTGTGGAGGTTTGCATGTCTGTATTTGAAGGAGACACACACTTAGTTGATCAGAGTGTGATCCCTTTATCTTTTCAAGTTATCCCACTTTTGTACATAAAGATAAGAAAAGTGAGGCCCTGGGTTTTAATAACACTAGGCAGAGAAGCAAAAGTTAAATGCTCATCCCAGACCACACCCTCTTAATATCATTTCTTTGCCTTTCCACTGGTAGAAAGTTCTTTTTCCTGAGAGCCACTTTTCCTGAGCAGGAATGGGAGCTTGGGGGAGGGTAATGGACAGAGATGTCAGCCAGAGTTTGGGCAGAATAACAGTACGAATGCCCTTGGAGTATCTTTTGTAATCACGAGATGGAAAGATATCTGATACTGTTCTTAGTTCATTTTATGCTTAATTTATTTTCTTAGTGCCATAGAAATTCAGAGCTGTAAGGGATCTTAGAGAAGTATCTTGTCTCATTCTCCCTTTGGGGAAAAAGATCATCTGACAGTAGTACCATAACAAATCAATAACTTAATGGACATATAAATGGTTTTATAGAAAACATTGTTTTTTTTTTTCCCAACAGTTTCTTAATTGCTTCTTAAACATCCAATTCAGTGATTCTCAATTTTTTCCCCGCCATAACGAATTAGAGAGAAAGGTAGCACATTTATGTCGGTGACTGAAGCTAAACTCCAGCAGAAATCTGCAGAAGTGACTTTAAGCTGAGAATCATGAGCATCCCCCAGACCTCTCATAGTTACTATCAGGGAACATTGAAAATCTTGGGTTAGCGGTGAGAGGGGAGAGTATATGAGGCTGGAGTAACCTCCTAGGTGATTCTGAAGAGCTCCAGTTGAGTCACTTAGATAGTAGTAGCTTTTGTTTTATTATCTCTATCATTGAAATGTCCTTTTATTTTTCTTATTATTTCTGCATACAATCTTGGTGTCATCAAAGAATCATCTAGTCTATCTCAGCATCTAATTCGTAAGTTACTTCTGTTCCATGCAGGCAGTTGGTCATTCTGACTTGTTACCTAGAGCTGTGGCATGATGAGGCACTGTTGTTTTCCAGAGATCTTGGGCTATTATCAGGCAGTTCCTGATTTTCCTTGACTCAGGCAAGAACTTGGTTCCTTGTAAGTTGTCACTGACTGGGAAGGCTGTGGCATTTCTCCCAATTTTATTCTTGCCTGGAATTAAGATCCCTGATTCTTTTAGGCTAATATTACTGAAGGTTTCAGGATCTCCATTCTAGTCACCTTCCTTTGGAGCAGTTCTGTTACATCTTTAATGTGATGAGTAAAACTGAACTCAGGAAAGGGTTTGTTGGTCATATCTCTTTATCTCCTAAGAATGACTGCTACTATAGCTTTCAGACAGGTCCAGCTTCTCTGGGATACATTCTGCACATGACTGACAAAGGAGATTTTAAATAAGATCCTTTTTCTTCTGTAGTTGTACCTTCCAGCCACTTGTCTTTGCTCTCAGAATAGCATACAACCTCCTTTAACAAGCCGATAAGACCCAGCATGATCTTGCCCCACAAACCCTTTGAATCTGATCTTCTATCACTAAATTCCATATTTGGCTCCTTGAACTTGCAGTTCCTTTGACATCTCCTCTTCCCTGTCTTCACATGGCAGGCTTCTGCCCATGCAAGGCTCACTTCCAGTTCTTCACCAAAGAGACCTTTTCTTACTGCCCCCAAGAGTCTGTCTTCCACTGGTCCTCCTCCTCAAGCTCAGAACCTTTGTACCTTTTACCGTTGGACCTTCAAGAGCCTAGAGGAAGGAGTGCTATGATGGGCTTCCAATAAATGCTGCTGTGGAATAAGTGAATAGTTAGTAGTTGAGCAGGGCTGGATGCACCTCTTATTTTTAGTAATAGATATCTGTTAATATATCTTAAGATTGTGGGTGGGGGCAGGGGACACCAGGAAAATGAGCATTTCATTATCAACACATCCTACAGAGATACTGACTATTTGAAGGTAGAGCCAGCAGGATTTGCTGCCCAACTAGATGTGGGTATGTGAGAAACCAAGGAGTCAGGTAGAACTCCAAGATTTTTCACCCTGTGGATCTGAATAAATGGAGTCATCACTATTGAAATGAGGAAAACTGAGAGGGGAGTTTGGGTATGCAAGGGGCCCATCAGAAGTGAAGTTGAGACATGGAAAGGTAAAAATGCTTATAATCCTTAATTTTGCTCTGTGTTAGTCTCCTCAGGTTTAAGTGAGAGTTAATAATTTCTCATGATAGTTGTGAGTTTTTAAATAGTTAATGTACATAACTCAAGGGAAAATAATAGAGAAAGTGCGTTAAGAAAAGTAAATTGTTTAAGCATAGTTATTAGGTCATAGAGCTTTTACAAAATCCCTTGGGCATGAGATAGGAAAACCTAAGTATACTGCACAAAATTTTTTCCCAGTAGGATTTTATGCTGTATAGAAGTGTTTTCTTTGGTTAGGACGATGTTCAGTTATACAGTTGAAAATCAAGGTATTGACTCAGTATCTGAAAACATCTCTCCTGGTAGTATACTGCAACCAAGGAGCATCAAAAATTTATATTCCATTCACTCACTAAACTGCCTTGTAACCTTCAACAGCACATGTATTGAGTCTCTAATATGGACAGGAAAATATGCTAGATACTGAAAAGCTAATAGGGCCAAGATAGAATTTATAATGTTGTTATATTCTGGGGATTAATGTAAGCATTTTATCAAGGTTTAACATTATAAGCTTGATAGAAGTACATGGCTGTCATTGTGGAGTGAAAGCCCATGAAGTTCCTCACATGCTGATACTGAGGGCAGAGCAGGGGAGGATTTGAACGCCTAGTGTTGATTTCACTGGAATGCCAGCACTTGCTGGGGACTGTATTGAAAGGAGTCCTTCAGACAGCACGTCCCCTCTGTACTGGTAAACTTTGAAATGCTGTCAGTGCATTTACTTGGCTTTATTGTTACAGAAGAAATCTCATAGCTAAATTACAGTCTTAAGGGTTTATGAGATGCAATTAAACTTAATTTTTAAAAAGTTCTCAACAAATCTTATTTGAAGTCTTAATATCTCAATTCCCTTTATATAGGATGTGTGATACATTTTCACCATATAAGTAACATGTGACCCACTTAATAACAGCTTCCTTAATAGCCCAAAGCTTCTTGTGTTTATGTGTAAATGATCCTTTTGAAATCTAATTATTCATGAATAAGGCTTCTATTCCACAGTCAGTTTGAGGAAAGGCAGGGCTCATCTGTCTTGTCTTAGTCACACTAAGGGGAAGGACATAGTGGTAGAGCCAGCTCCCTCACCTGGGTCCCCTGAGCCAGTCTGTACAGGAGCACTTCACTGTTGCTTGAAGGTAAATTCTAGGCTCTTTATGCATACAGAGATCCAACACATGAGAGTGGTAGTTAACATTTGCTGAGCACTTGGTAAGTACCAACCACTGCTTTAATTCCTTCATCTATATTAGCTTTGTTAATAGTCACAGCAGTCCTTCAAGGGGTAGATCCTGTCATACCTGTGTAACAGTCAAGGATGCTGAACAGAGGCATTGGTTGAGACGTTGTCTAAGGTTACAGATTGTCCGGTTGGGTTTCAAACCCCAGCAGTATGGCTCAGAGCTCTGTGCTCAGCTGCTGTGCTGGGCTGACTCCTTCCATAGAGCTCAGGCTGGAGAAAGTGTGGCCAGAGACACTCAAACCGCTGCAGCTTTTGTTTCCTAAACAAAGTCTGTTTTACAAATTTGTCTCTTATGTGTGTATGGATTAAGGCCATAGTTGATTATTTTTATGGTTCCCCCTACATAAGATATATTTGAGATTACTAGTGGGATTTAAAGTAATTATAAGAAATATTTATTGTTTTTTTGGTTTCTTTCTTCTCAGTGTCATGGTTTTCTCCAAATGAAAATATTCTCGTCGTTATTTTCCCAATTTTGGCTATACTTCTCTTCTGGGGACAATTTGGCATTTTAAGTAAGTATTTATTTCTACTTTTCTTTTATGGTTTAGTGATGAAATTGTTATTTCTAGGAGGTTATACTAGTAAAATATTTTGTTTAAGTTGTATTAGGAAGAGTGTTATTTGAGTAAAGAAGTAATGCAGTTTCAATACTCACAGTCTCCTTGAAGTACATATTGTCCCCCATATTGTGCTACAGTTCACCTTTAATTCCTAAGAAGGTGTCTCTTTTTTTTATTTATTTGTTGTTGTTTTCTAAATCTTTAAAGAACAAATAGAGGGACTACTAGTAATAGCAGCACTTTACACTCATGTAGCATTTTTATATTTACAGAACATTTACCTACATTTTATTTGATAAACAGATGGTCACAGGCCTCATTAATGTTGAGACAGCGTGATGTGATCCTCTGGAGCCTTAGGATTCCCCTCTCTTCATTTTCCCCGTTTGAACTTCTCTGTAGACACATGTTCACTCATGGAGAAGTCCCATTGAACCATGTTTTGTCACCTTCAATGTGCAGCCTCATAGCCCTTAAGGAAGCAGCCACGGGAAAGCCATATTCTTTGAGCTCACTTTACTGTGATAGTCACGTAACCAAACCTCAGGGAAAATCTTAATGCTGTGTCAGATTCAGCATCAACAGTCTAGAACTTTCATTACAAGGTAAGTAGTATGGTTAATGGTTAATATGCAGTATGGTTAATGTTCACACTCAACCATATGGCTGCACCAGGTTGGTAAAGGAAATTTACTAAATTAGTGAATTTCTGAGGTGACATTCTAAACTTACTTTAAACTTTGAAGACATAAGATTCCTACTCTCCCTGTAGCACCCAAATAGTCACTGAAGACCAGTAAGCATCTATACAGAAGGAGTAAACAGTGCTAATGTAATTTATTGTCCAATCTTAAGAAAAGTAAAATGTGGTAAAATGTTGCGGTAGATTGGCCTCTGCGTATGTTATGGATTTTATTTTTCCTCAGAAGTTTAAGCTGTGTGTATCCTCAGTGATATGTAAAAAATGTAAGAGAGGGGACTGATGATATATTTTAAGAGCTTTTCCCAATGTATAGCCCTCTGGAAATGCTAATGATTTCAGAGATGTTCTCAACTTTTTGTCTAAAAGAAAAAAAAGAGGGAAACAAAGGACTGACAGTGGCAACTGTCAAAACATCTCACAGCTCTTACCTTCAAGAGGTGCCTAGACCTCTTTTGGAAATTATCTTGAAATTTCAATAAATCTTTTATCTCAGGAAAAAAAAAAACTGGTACAGCATCAGGGCCTATTGTGTCATCAGTGATGTTAGGGAAAGCATTCCACCATATTGGCAGACCTAGCTTTAAGGGCCAAGTCATATGATTTGGGCTGGGAACAAACCATTTTTATGATTATAAAATTATTTCACATTAGTGGGATTTGTTGAGTTTGGATTGTTAGAAATTTGCTGATCGTGGCATTATCCTTAGTGAAATTACATTTAGTGGAATTATGCCAAGGTAAATCTGTTCACTGTCAGCCAAATTTTTACAAAATAAACTTAATTGTTTTGTTGTTGTTGTTCTGACTTTAAAAAGTAATACAGTTGTCTTAGTATCCATGGGGGACTGGTTCTGGGAACACTATATACCCAAATCCACTGATGCACTGACACCGGCCTGTCTTATTAAATGGCCAAGCATTTGCATTTAACCTCCACACATCCTCCTGTATACTTTCAATCATCCCTAGATCACTAGATTATTTATAGTACTACATGCAAAGTAGATGCTATGTAAATAGTTGTTGTATAGTTTTTTTAGAGAATGATGACTGGGAAAAAGTCTATACAAAATCAGTGCAGATATAATTTTATTATCAATATTTTTGGTTCACAGTGGACTGAGTGTGTGAATGTGGAACTCACAGCTATGGAAAGTTGGCTGTTACATTACTTTAGAACACTTTGTACAATATAGGAATTTTTAGGGAAAAATAAAAGTCATCTGCAGTGTCACAACCTAATAATATGCTATTGGTGCTTTCTAGAGAATTGCCTATTTCCTTCCCTGTCTATTTATTTTCGTTATCATTGTTTTAAAAACAGAAACTAGGAAAGGACTCGTGCTGTTTATGTTCTTATACACCCTAATGTTCAGGATGTGTCTTTATAACTCTTGTTAGAATTCTTCTCCCCTTCTACGGATGGACAATCATTTACTTAACTCTTATCTTCATGGTTATTAGGGATGTTTCCAAGTTTTTTGATACTATGAAAATAACTCTGCTAACAATATGTAAGCCAGGAGGTGGCAAAGATATTTTAAGCCTCCTGATTCACACTGCCAAAATGTTTTCCAGAACCATCTCATCAGTTCCTACCATTGCAACGGAGAATACCTGCCTTTCACCTCACAGTCCTGACATTATTATAATTGTAAAATCTCTGCTAATTTGATGGATTATAAAGTAAAAACCATCCTATTTTCATTTTCATGTTTGTGTTTATGAGGTTGGCTGTTCATTTTTATATTTTTTCTACTGCTGTATTTTAAGGAACATGTTTATGAGCCTAAAGAACTATTTGTGGAGGTTTGTTATTTTGGCACATCTTAAACAAGTAAATGTGGTGACTGTGCGTGTGTGGAAGAGGCACTTCCACACTGGGTTCATCCAGCCTGCCCTCCATTTAGAGGCGTTGATCATATAGTGACTAAGTGTGGAGCCCTTGCCCTGTAGGGCAGGCACTGTGCCAAGTGTGCTGCACCTGAAATCATGTTGATTTCTCCAGGGACTTTGGGTATACATACTGTGGTCATTCCCATCTTGTAGATGAGAAACTGAGGCACTGATCAGTTGGGCAGTTTGCCCACAGCCACCCAGCTGTTTCCTGGTAGCCCTGGGATTTGAACTGTGCTGTTGGTTTGCTGTTACTCTCTACTGCTTCCCCATCTTGAATTTGAGAATTTTCTTTCTGTGAAGGCTAACACCATGTGTAGGTACACACTCTGAGTAGATGTTAACTGATTGATAAGCAGACTGTTGACCTATTTTGTTTGTTCTATGAATACCCATGACAGGGTGCCTGCTGACTGCTGGGCACTGGGCTACATGACTGAGATGTGGAAGTGAGCGCACATCGCCCCTGGCTTGTAGACCTGCATGTCAGTCATTCCAGTAGAGGGGTGGGTGTGTCTGACTGTGCTGCCCCTAGATTTGAACCAGCTTTTCTTTTGGAGCCCATTGTAAGAGGCCTCCAGGTTATGGCCTGGGCATCCCACCAAAGAGGGGAGCCCCTGTGTTTTCCACCTGAATGCTTGTGCATTTCCTGGAATCCAGGATGTCACAGCCCCTGGGGTGTTAACAGTCACTCAGCTCCATGGCTTTTATTTTCTACATTTTTAGTTGTCATTAACTTTCCTGATGACCATTTATGGTCTGTACTTGACTACAGGAGATTTCTCTAAGTGGTTTATCCAGCTCTGCCTGTGAGTCTTTTGTGGTCCAAGATGAAACCCAGACCTTTGTGAGGCTGAACTTCCTGGAAAGACAGTGGGTTATGCTGTCACTTTGAGGAGAAGGAGTTTCTGTGTTCCACTGCATGATTCTTGACACTGTATTAACATACATTCTCAATTCCCTAGAATTAAGCACTGAACCTTAACCAATAATATTGCTTTCAGACACTTGGTATTTTGTTCTGAAAACTATACCAACTCACAGTTTGTTACTCTGCTGACGATTAAGTTCCTGGCTGACTTTTCGCGGTTCTTCTTCCTTAGTCTTTGATCTCAGAACAGCTTCTTTCCATCATTTAGCTGGTTGATGTATGATTACTAGGACTGCCCACCTAGTCCTCTAGTTCCTGCAGGATTGAGGTGCCACTGTATTCAAAGAACTGGCTGGCATTTTGAAAGTCTTTGAAGTAGGCCTATCTGTTCTTCTTTTTCCTGTTCCTTGAACTTTTGTCATGTATAGTGTGTCTTTGCTTTGCACAGATCTGTGAAACCATAAACACAACCATGTAAGCTGAAATTCTGCATAGAAATCTTAATAAAGAATGATAAAATTACTGCTATATAATGGCCTTAAAAATCTTTTTTCAAAGCATTAAAAGTGTTTGTATTATCAGTAACAATTGCATTGGAACATGGAACAAAAGTCAAATTAATATTTAGCACATGATATTTTAAAAACTTTGAGGATTGAAATGTTTTGTTAAGCACTGTTTGAACAACTCTTGTATTCTTTTTGTGTAACTGAATACAGAACACACATCCTTTCTGTGCCTTGGTGAATTGTCAGCCTCCCATTTGGATCAGGGTTTCAAAATTTTGTTCTTTGTAGTTTCAAAGTCGTGAAATATATCTGGCAGTCCCTTCAGTGTGACATGGTTTTTGTTTTTGCTTTTGCCAGAGTCTCTTCCTCCAGGACATCTTCTTTCTCTTTTGTCCGTCCTCCTCACCTTCCTCATTCTTGCCAGTGAGTTTCCTTCACTGAGTTGCTCTGGCCACATCTTGAGTGTCTACATTCCCACAATCCACTGTTTTCTTCTGCTTTTCCACTGATGGCCCAATTGAAATTCAAATCTAGCATCCTTATTTTTCATTTCTTTGCTCTTTCTTCTTTCTTGCTCAGTTTTCTCTTTTGATAATCCATTATAAAGTAGCATGTGGGTTTATCACTGGGAGACCAGAAGATAGTACAAGTATACACTTGAACGGAATGAAGAACAGATGGGCAGTGACCAGTGACCAGTCAGCAACCAGTCTTCAAAAAAAGTGACGTGACTGATCACAATGGACATCTGCTATTTATGGAGGGACTTGTGGACTGAAGAGATAGCGGTGAAGTCTGTACTTTATCTAGTTACTTGGTTAACATAATGTGGTAATTAAAATTAGAACTATACTTTGGGGGGCTTGTGTTTTTTAACTAAATGATGGTAACTGGAATTTATTCACATCAGAACCATTCATGGTGAGGACTGCTGTAGTTCAAATCTTATTTCCTAGACATCTTCCTTTTTTTTTTTTTTCTCTAATTTTCTCACCCTTCCTCAAGATTATTCCACAAGGATTTTGGCTACTGGCTCAGAGGTATTTAGGTAGGTGTACCTATGGAAATAATTGTAGGGATATTCAAGGAAAAAATTCTCCCACACAGCAGCCTTGAGGTCCTACTAAGTCTTCAAGTCCAGATTTGAGAACTAGTTTACTAATGAAAGTATTTAGGCCATGAGGGCACATTTAAGAGAAGTAATAGAGCAGGGAATTTCTCCATTGGTTAGAAAAGATCATTCTAGAGAGGTGAAGACATGTATTGAAGTGTACTGAAAGTATCTATGCAAGAAGGTAAAGTTTTCCAATAGGTTATAAAGAATTATTCTGTAACCTGATTGCTGTCCCCTGATAATAGGACTTAATAATGAAGTTTGATGTGAATTCTATTCAAAAATCTTGAACTCACAGTGTTTTTCCTTGGTCCTGTCTACATTACAGTCACCTCTGAATTAAGTCTTGCTTATGCACTGATTTTATTGTAAGAGCAACTGAACACAACTATAGTTTTAACATTTCACTCTGTTTTAGACATATAGTTGCAGCTTTCTTGACCCTTTCCTAACCATTCCATCCCAGCTTCCTGCATATACACTGAAACTGTGAAACTTTCCACAAAACCAGGGCACATTTAGAACCAGGAGAAGGAGATTTGTCTATAGCACATCCCCTTCGTTTACACTCAAAGTACTTTCTGCACAAAGCCTGAGCTCTTTTATCTCTGGGTCCCATAGAAGGGGAATGTGGTGTTCAGTCATTATTCAGTTTGACAGAATTGCTTCACCAGAGCAAGCTGGATAGTACATGGAGTTTATAATAAAATTATTTTGTTTGCCTTCTGGCAAGTCACCAATTTATAAATGGCAATTCATTTTTCTCTAGCACCAGTTTCGCAAAGCCTTCATTTGTGTGTGTGTTCTACATGAATGTGTTAAATATTTTTAAAATAGTAATTCAAATTTAAATAATTTAAAAAAATTGAAATTGTAATCTGATTTTAAAAGTTATTAGATGTACTTTATCCTACATTGAAGACAGCATTGGTTTATAACTCAACAGATACCAAAAGGATTCTAAGGTACTTTCCTGGAGTATCAGAAACTGTATAATAATTAAATCAAACACTTGTCTCCCTTTATGATTCATTCTTCATCTAATATGTATTTTTATCACACTGGTAAGCTTTTGTGTCTCTGCTTACTCACCGATCACTTGGCTGGGGACTAAATATCACATCTTTGAGCAGGCATGGCTTCTTGGATTTTTAGATCTTGTTAGGTAGACTGTACTTTCTCTGGACCTATATGAGTGTATCAATTCAGTCTTTAGAGTATCATGAAAACGTAACATGATAGATTTAATTTTATCTCCAATTGACTTGGTAATTATACTAGATTTTGCCAGCCTCAGCCTGCATTCTATCTTAGATGCGCTCCCTATCACTCACAAAGAGACCAGAAAATCTCCTCAATTCATAACATTAGCACTGTCTTTAAATGGCTAGAGGGACTTGCTTCATCCACGTGAAAGTGAAGGATTTAATGCCTAAAGGAACTTTCTTAGACTAGAGGAGACCTTTACCTTTTATTTAACTGGGAGGAAGACATGAGAACAAAGCCCCGGTCATTTACATCCCCAAACACACTCTCACCCATTAGAATCTGAGGGCCTCGAGGCCTGCCTTGTGGTTGTTTTTATGTACACTGTCAGTGAGTAGAATAGTGATTGTCACATGGGTTGATAGTGCTCAATAAGTTCTTGTTTAATAATGTAATCCACTTGTTCCCTGATTTGGACTAATAAAAGGGCCTGGTACATTGTAGGTACATAGTCAACATTTGTAGAAAAAGTGAATGAGGGGCTGGGGTTGTGGTTCAGTGGCAGAGCGCTTGCCTAGCATGCGTGAGGCACTGGGTTCGATCCCCAGCATCACATAAAAACAAACAAATAAAATAAAGGTATTGCATCCACCTATAACTAAAAAAAATATTTAAAAAAAAAAGAAAAGAAAAAGTGAATGAACCAACCTGACATTTTTTCGAGATATAGCCTGCTGGATTTAACTATTTTATTTCACATATGCTCTGGAATTATATTGAAATTAAGCAACATCTATTCTGAAATAGAAAAAGGAAAATTTTAGAATTTCTCATTTGTTGGTTAAAATATTACATTGTTTCCTCTAGTATTTGGTAACCCTGTATCAGGCAGAGCCTAGGTTGTAAGTTTTTGTTAAAAATGTACATAGGATTATCATTTCTCATGTATTTCATTTTATGTATTGAGCTCAGTAGTTTTAGCTGAGGGGAATCTTTAAAAGGATGCAGATTTTTTAAATGACATAGATTGTCTTGCTAAGCAGCCAGAAAATCATACCAGAAAGTTTGATAAAAGCCTGCTGTTAAGAATACATTAAATTATTTTTATCTTAATGCTAAGTGTTTGGGGAATCTCTTGAATTTATTTTATTTGTCACATCTAATGTTTTGATACATTTTATAACTAAGGGTATATCTACTTATTAAAGGACTGGAAAAGATAACTAATAAGAGGGCCTGAAGATTGTTGGGTTTTATAGCATCTCAGTGTAGCTGAGAAACTGACAACTGTGCTAACAGCAAGATATCTTCCGCACAGTTACCGTGGGACCTGCTAAAATGGGGTCATTGTGAGCAAAGAAAAGGAGCCAGAAGACACTTTTTATAAAGGGCCATTGAAGAAATATGGAGACATTCTTTCATTGCCTGTGGTTACTTAAGTAGACTGCAGTAATATATTTTTTGGAAACGGCTGCTTTTATTGGAGAAAAGTTTAAGGTAGCCTTGAAAATGATTAGTAATTGAACCAATCAACAGGAATTAAAGCTACCACCAATGTACAGTGTACTTCTGCTCAAAAGGAAAAGGCCATTTTATGATAAAACACTAACAATAGTATTTTGTGGTTTGAGTTTTGTTGGTATTATTTTTCTCCTAAGCCTAAAGGTATTGAATTCTATGTGACGTTCAAAATCTTATTCTAAGAATGACAGAAGTCAGCCTTTTTGCATGAAATTATCCTACAAAGTCAAGTTTTAAATGCTTGTTGCTTAGTGGCTCCTTTAACAAATTAACCTACAAGAATCTCTTATGACTGTTTGATTGTAGAGGACATTTGAAGCAGCTTCTATTTTATAACCCTTTGCAGAACTTTGAAGCTCTGTTCAGATAACAATATGCATGGGATTCAAATGGAAAGCATGACACATATCTAGAGAAAATTTCTTTCTCTGTATCTGGGCCTTTTGTGACCTGTGCACTCAATTTTATTCTAGCTGGTATTTGAGCCTAGAAGACAGAGAAGCTGTGAGAACTGAGCTTGATAAGGAGGCAGGGTTGTGATTGAGTAGTAGTCACGTGTCTTCTAGGGCTGGGTGGGAATAACAGGTCAAATAAATATTTGGGGAACTTGCCACATGATGCTTTCTAAATATTACTGTGATTTCTCTTTTCTGATTCATGTGGATTTGTTACTCAGCTTGACTAATGATGTCTGCTTAGGCTCTGTCTCCCCCTAAACAGAATAGTCTTGGGGTTCTAATCTAAAGTGTAGGTAGCTAGAGATTCAAAAACTCTTCAGGTACCTGCAGTATACCTTAAACATAGATTTTTTCATGATTATTATTATTGTTAATTTTACCATGTTTCATCTATTCATCATTTTGGTGGAGGAAAATTAAATGCAAAATACAACATTTAAAGTATTTTCCCCTTTGCAACAATTACCCATTGATTATTGACACATCAATCTATGTGTATGACACACAGCAAAATTTCAGTCACATATCCTTTTGCTCTCTGCTACTCAGTCTGATTTTAGTTTAACTTTAACAATTTCTTGGTGAAAAGTTAATTTCAATGTTAACATATGCATAAAAAGGTCAATAGAGACTAAAAGGAAATACTGTTAAGGTTATTCATTACATTGTTGTTTCAGAGAAGGTACTGGATACTTGACAATAAACCTAACATTAGAAACAATAATTTATATGATAAATCCCATTGAGTCTTTGTAGTTTATTTTTATTAAAATAGTTTAAAATTTTAAGCATTTTTTTCCATCAGGATTTTGCAAGGGTGTTATTTGTTCAATATTTATTCTATCCTGTTTTTCAGAATGATGGGTCCATATTTCCAGATGTTTTACTAATTTTATGTAAGGTGGAACTTAGTTCTCTTTTTCTCAATATTGCTAATTAGCCAGTTTTGTCCCATCAGCATTATGTGTATCAGTGTTGTGTTGTCCATCTGGGGTGATTTTGCTCATCAAGGGACATTGACAATGTCTAAACACATTTTGATTGACATAACTAGGGGACTGCTACTAACATCTCATAATATAGAGTCCAGGGATTCTGCATAACATTCTATACTGCACAAAGCATCCCCCACACAAAAACTTACTAGCCCCCAAAGTTAATGATGCCTCAGTTGAGAAAGTTAGCGTGTGTAACTTCATTCTTTTAAAGTGTAGGGAATAAAGTGTCACCTGTGTATTAAGCATCCACATGTATACTGCCATTACCCTAATTATCCATTGGCTTTTGAAAAGATGTGAGGTGACTTAAAGGAGTTGTTGTTCAGAGGTTCTTCAGTTACAGTGAGTTATCAGTTTGTCTCTGCGCCTTATAGGTTACAGAAATGGCTTCACATGTGATTGAGTTTATTGATTGATTGAATTCTGTTTCGTTTTATTTTTCAGCACTTAAATATAAATCCAACTGTACAAATAAGAAAATCATCCTTTTACTTATCGCTGGACTACTGCTCACTACAATTGTCATTGTTGGAGCCATTCTCTTTGTCCCAGGTAAGATGTACAGTTGCTATGAGGAAATGCAGGGTCGATGTAAGGGGAACATGGGGGTCAGGGTGTATACGTTTCCTAGTGCTGTCGTAGCAGATTATGGCACACAGAGTGGCTTCAAACAGGAGAAGTTCTCTCACCACTCCGGAGGCCATAAGTCTGGCTGTAAGTCAGGGTGTCACGGGGGCAGCATTCCCTCCCTAGGCTCTAGGGGAGAGTCCATTTCCTGCCTCTTCTAGCTTCTGCATTTGCTTAGCTTGTTTCTTCCCTCATGGTTGCAGTTCCTCTTTCTCCTGTCTTCTGCTCTGTGTCTGTGGCAAACTTCCCTCTGTCTCACTCCCTCAAGGACACTTGTCATTGGAATCTGGGCCCACTGGTATAATTCAAGATAAGCTCCTTCAAGATCCTTAACTTAATTGTATCTTTGGCCATATAATGGAACTTGCTTTTATTTTTGCCATATAAGGGGATATTCACAGGTTCTAGGGATTGGAAAGTGGAAATAGCCTCAGGGCCACCATCTTGTATTGACCAAGATGTGGAAGTGGGAAAGAACGTGGGAACCATGTCTGTCTAAAGTGACAGTTGTGTGTGGGGGGATGGGAGTGGGAGTGGGAAAGAAGGGCAGGGAGCACATGAAGAAAAGCAGAGACAGGCTGGGACTCCAAGTGGTAGATTCAGCACACTATTGTGGTTTCTACAGGAGACGGTAGTGTAGGTGTGATGTTTAAAAACATAAATCAGCACCTGTATTTACTTACAGAGGTACTGAGGGCATGGGGAGAAGGAGATAAGTTCAGAAAAGAGCCTGAAAGAGCAGTTGATTTGACTTTGGGACAGATGGAAAATAGCAAAGGAAGGGAATGACAAGAGATGACTACAGAATATCTCATTGGAAATCTGTTAGATAGTTGAGGAGGAGATAGAGCCAATTCAAGGATTTTGCATGTGAGATTTATATTCTTTGTCTCAAAAAATTACTCATTTGAATGAATTTTGGGGAAAACATTTCAGTTTGTAATAGTATTATTGAGGTTAAAATATTTAATAAAATGAAGTACTTTAACTTGTGAAGAATAGGAAGTATATATGAGAATATTTTAAATGTTTTTATTTATTAACAGGAGAATATTCAGTAAAGAATGCTTCAGGACTTGGTTTCATCGTAATTTCTACAGGGGTATTAATATTACTTCAGTACAATGTGTTTATGACAGGTAGGTATTTGTTCTTACAGAATGATTTTTGTCTCTTTTTTTCATTAAAAAACGGTACTTTTGGTGAAATTTTTCTTATATTTTTTAACAGTTCAATTGAAGTGGTTTATTAAAAGAACTTCCATTACATTCTTAGTGATTTCCCTGCGCAGATTGATTTAAGACTATCTTAGATCATTAAGGCAGTTAATTATTTTGTGAATACTGATTTTTGTATTATTTGATGCCAGTTTTTATAATTTAAATTATGCTGCATAGTTTTTAATGATTATCTGCATACTCTGATTTCAGATTTTTATAGTTATAAGTAGGTGTTCAACACATTCTTTATTTGCTAACCCTATACATTAAAAAAGACTAATATTACAAGATGAAGTTATAAATTGCAAATGGTAGAAACATGTTCCTTTTACTTACAGGTAAACCATGGCACAACTATAATCAGCATTGTTCTCTCTGCATTTTAAAAGCAAATTGCTAACCTATTTTGGTTATAATTAAAGAGTCACATTTAACACTGGACCTTAGGGCCTCTCTCTGGCTCACTGTACATAGTAAATGCATCCATTCACTATAAAACCACAGGTCAAGATGCACAAGATAGAGGTCACGATGCTTGCAGTCATGTTTGCAGAGTGGTTCGCTCCACTAGAGAAATTTCTGTGCATGTGGAGAAGCCATGCCAGATAGCCATTTATGGATAAAAGCATACAAGTGTGGTCAAAGCAGGATTGATCTAGGATTTAGGGTAAAAACCATCAGTCCTGCTCAGACTCCTGCGACAGTAAAGGGCTGCTGAATGTGTGGGTCTGGAGCTGACTTGTGTGGAAGGTTAGGCTCTGGAAAAGAGTCCACCATCTAACAAGTGCAGTCAGTCATTGGGCATAGGATGTTGCTCTTGGTTTCACCAGACGCAGGCAGGAGTGATTGCTTCATCGGTATCCTCAAGGTACTTCTCTCTATCCCTTTCCTTCCTCTAGCTTTTGGGATGACCTCCTTTACCATTGCCATATTGATCACTCAGGTGTTGGGCTATGTGCTCGCTGTGGTTGGACTATGTCTCTGTATCATGGGTAAGAGTCTCATTCTCCTGTATTCCCAGTTTGAATTTTTCTTGAACAGAGCTCTTCTTTCTTTCTTTTTCTTTTTTTTTTTTTTTTTTAAGAGCGGTTTTTAGATCCACAGAAAAATTGAGTGGAAAGTGCCATAGGGTTTCTGGGTACTCCCTGCCCCTTTGGCATGCTCCACACAGTCACAGTTTCCCTCCACGTCCCATACTAGAGTGGCACGTTTGTTACAACTGATGAACCAATGTTGACACATCATTATCACCCAAAGTTCATAGCTTACATTGCAGATCACTCTTGGTGTTGCATGGTTATTACAAATGTGAAATGACATGTATCCCCCAATGTAGTGTCATACAGAATATTTTCAATGCTCTAAAAATCCCTTGTGCTCCATTTGTTCATCTCTCTCTCCCTGCAAATCCCTGGCGACACTGACTTTGTTACTATCTCCATAGTTTTACATTTTCTAGAATATCTTAGAGTTGGAATCTCATAGTATATAGCCTTTTCATATGGGCTGCTTTAACTTAGAAACATGAATTTACATTCCCTTCATGTCTTTTCATAGCTTGATAGCTTATTTCTTTTTAACACTAACTACTAGTCCATTGTGTGGATATACCATTGTTTATGTGTGAAAGAACATTTGGGTTGCATTCCATTTTGGGGGGACTATGAATAAAGCTACTACAAATATCCAGATGCATGTTTTGTGTGGCATAATTCAACTCCATTTGGGTAAATACCAAGGAGTGCAATTCCTGGATTATATGTTAAGTTATGGTTAATTTTTTAATAAACTGCTCAACTCACCATTTTACACTCTCATAAACAATGAAAAAGACTTACTGTTTCTCCACATATTTGCCAATATTTGGTATTGTGAACATTTCTTTTTTAACTCCTATTTTTCCTCCAAGGAAATACTGGAGGAAAAAATATTTTTTTTATTGCTATGAATGTTGGCTATATGTGGCTTATGGGCTGATTGTTTTAGCAGACAAACTTTTATACCTGTAATTATGGAAGAACTTTTAAAATAACCAGGCTCTAGTTGACTGAAGTCTTAGACTTTACATGCTATTTTACATTAGTCTTCATGTGATAAGATAAGATGTGTGTTGTGCAAAAGAGGGCTTTTCTTATTATAATTTGGAGTTATTTCAGTGACCGAGTTAATAATAATGAAAATAATTTTATTCTGTATATATGTAGATAATTTTTATTGATTATTAGAACAAGAATTACTCTCCTAAAATTTGACATTATTAGTTCTTGTTGATTTCTTTTTAAAATTCAGTTATTTTATAGGCATTTCTAATAGAAATTTTCATTTGTTTTTACAGCGTGTATACCAGTGCATGGCCCTCTTCTGATTTCAGGTTTGGGTATCATAGCTCTAGCAGAATTACTTGGACTAGTTTATATGAAATTTGTGGGTAAGTTAGTCCTATTTTTATTAGCTTATGTCAATAATTTCAGATATATACCTTGAAAAATGCTTTTAGTTGGTTCTTCCAGAAATGTATTGATAACTCCAAAAATGAGAAAATACAGTTAAAATGAGGCTCATTAAAGAGGGTGGAAGGCATATGAATTAATGAAGAGTTTGGATTGTGAACTACTTTAAAAGAAAATGGCTTTCTTTCTGTATTAGAATGTATAGATTTTTTTGTGTGTGTGTATCCTAAGTAAAGGGAGAGATCTCTGAAGGATCCATTTTAATTAATAGAACAGGGTTTTTAATTGTTCATTATTCCTGTGATTTAGCTCTTTTGCAGAAACCTGTATGTCACTTGCCATTCTTCTTGTGTACTGTGTATACACAGGGACTCCCCTAATGTGTCAGGAACTGAAAATCAAAGTCTTTTACTTTTGTATTTAATAATGTGATGACCTCCAATGCACACATTTAAAATATTTTTGGTAAAAACCAATATAATAAAAGCAGTAACTTTTTAAACTTAGGATTTTACCACTCTTAAAATAAATTCATAATACGTATATGGAATCAGCTTCAATTTTTTTCTAACCTTGGTATTTAATCTGCCAGTTTTCAAACAACAGGTTTCTGCATACATTCTTATTTTAAACACACACACACACACACACACACACACAGAGAGAGAGAGAGAGAAAGTGGTCATTCGCTTTTAATGGTGTCTAACACTAGGATTGTTTTTATCTAAGCTAGTGATGTTGCCTTCAATCTGGTTTGTAGCAGCTTCCATTTTTAAAAAAAAATCTGATTTTTATTTATAAAGTAAAGCAAACTCTTCACCACCTATCAAAAGAATCAATAGTTGCAAATTAATAGTATAGAAAAGTCAGTATTTCTGCTTTTCAATAGGTGAAACTTACTGTTTGTTTTTAAATTAATAGAATTGATAGAGTCAAGAAGCTTCCCATATAGCTTGCATAATACTTTAAAAAAATAATTTACCTTTCTTTCTGAATTTCAGCTTCTGATGACCTATAATTAATTTGGTTCTGTTATATATTGTCTGTCCCCTTTAATTAATGCTTATTAGATAAACAACTAAAATACATTATCAAAATCTACCTATTTTTAGTTTATTTGTTCTTGAGTCTTAGTTGTACCTCAATGAAATTTCCCAATTTCATGCCACATAAGTTTATAAAACACAAAACATCTAAAAGGCCAGGTATAGTGGTGCATACCTGTAATCCCAGCTATTTAGGAGGCTAAGATAGGATTGTAAGTTTGAGGCCAGCCTGGGCAACTTAAAAAGACCCCCAACCTCTAAATAAATAAATAAGAAAGACACCTAAAGCAGACTGGCATTTGCGTGGTTGCTATGGTGAATGTCTTATTGGTGATGCTAGTCTACCCTGGTTAAATCTTCCAGTCACCATGTGTCTGATTCTTAAGGGGTGGCCCTGCTGATTTCGTTGCCTCACGCAGCATGCAACCTGCAGTACTCACAGGTGTCACTGACTGACTCTCGGCTCCGTGTTCTTGCTTTTCCCTCACTATCTGTATTGCCCCCTCTTGTTCCCTTGCTTGCCCTTGCCTTCCATCTCTGGCAGGTGTTCAGCACAGTTGCCATCAGGTCTGGAGATGCTGCCTCAAGTTTAGTGGACACTGCTTAGCTGCCACCTTTTGGCCTTGCTCTCCCGCTCTTTCCATTGCTTACATCCCTAAGAAGCCTGTGAAACCACTATCATTAAAAATGTCACTGTTCTAAATTAAAATGAAAGTCCCTAGACGGACCCCAGGTTATTTTTCTTTATCATACTTTATTGTATAAATATACTATATTGATTTTAAGAATTTAGTTCAATTTTGTTGATATTTTGAGAATATCCTAAATTAACTTTTCAAATCAACTTGTCTGATGCCAGAGTGCAGAGAGAGACCTTCGGTCAGTTGAAAGGCAAGAAGAGAAAAGGTACAGGAAAGTTGCTTTTTGGATAATGTGGTAGACTAGGAAGATTAATGTGTTTTGCTTATATAAATTTGTTTAAATCTGAATATATATAGCATTAATGTTGCAAATTGGTATCAGGAAGTAAAAATTGTAAATATTTCAAAAATAATTTTTACTCATTGCAGATGCACTGTCTTAGAAATGAATGCATCTTGATTTAAATGTAATAAAAGCCTCAGATCATTAAAAAAAAAAAAGCCCTATAAGAGTGAGTTAAAAGTGAGAATTTTAATTTTTTTATTTTTCATTATTCACAAATGTAAATTTTATAGCCTTGTTATTTTGAAGAATAGGATTTTGACTTTCACTAAGTCCTTCTTTTTATTGCATTTTTTTCTTATTACTGAAAGCATTTTAGTTTTTTAAAGTGAGATAAGACACTGTGAACAATAATATGAAAAGATTAAAAGGAGCCAGCTAAACTCACTAAAGTTGAACTTGTTAGTATAATGGATGCTTATGTCTGTTATATGTAAGGGTAAAAGCACTTGTTTGTTTTTAAAGCCATTACCACTTAGTTTAATATGAGGTCATATAATTTGTTTTGAACAATTAGCCTCATTAAAGTCAGAAACATATTTACCACACATCTCAGATATTTTAGAATGCTACAGAAGCACAATATCTGTCAGTCAATAGATATTTGTGTTTGTTTAAATATTCAGATGTATTTTCTGGCCATTGTTGAGGAAAAGTGTTTATGGTATCACTATAAAAAGTGTTTCTGAAAAATTTGAAACATGGAAATATGTTTATGTCAAGTGATCAGGTGTTTTAGATAACAATTAATGCAGAAGATTTAATCAAGTCAGCCCAGATAGAATGTTTAAGGCTTTTAATTTAAAAAAAAAAAAAAAATCTGGCCTTTGCTCATGATAGCAGATTAGTCATGATCATTCTTTTGGCTCATGTGTTGTAGCCCCATTGGACGGTATTAACTCAGGTGAAGTTAACACCTGCATTGTTTACTTTTATACTCTTAGAGGTATCACAACTGATTGCTGTCCTTTTGAATCACTGTTATTCATAGATTTCTATTTTCAGAATGGTCTAGACAAATGTGACATTTCTTGCTCATGGGAATTAGAATTTTAGACTATTCTTTATATGTAATGGGGGGGAGTTCTTAGCTATTCTTAATACTAATTCTGATGAGCCCAAAAATAGAACTCTAAAATATTGTCTCTGACCACCCCCTCATGTTTGTTACCAATCAAAAATTTAGATAGCTGTTTAGTTCTATTGTCCTTTATAAAACTTAGATGTAAGCTGGGTACATTGGCACATGCCTGTAATCCCAGCAGCTCAGGAAGCTGAAGCAGGAGGATTGCAAGTTTGAGGCCAGCCTCATCAACTTAGCAAGGCTCTATGCAACTTAGTAAGACCCTGTCTCAATGTAAAAAAAAGGGGGGGGGGGCTGGGGATGTGGCTCAGTGGGAAAGAAACAAACAAACAAAAAATCCTTAGAAATAAGGCATGGTTTAGTTGAAGTAAGCTGTCTATTCATGACACTCTCCTGATATCCCCAACAAAATTATGAAATTCTGCTTATTTATTTGGGAAGCTGCTAAATGGAATGTATCGAAACCATTTCATTCTATATCCTTTAAAGAGGCTGCTTTCATGTTGGGACACAAGTGCTGCCACAGTGAGGGAGGTCAGTGTCTACCCACATGTTGCACTAGCAGAGGATGTCCAGAGTGCAGACAGATAATAGGCCTCACAGGGTGGGGGAGTGTTCAGTTCGGCAGCTAGACAGCTCCAGCACCTTTCCTCTTACTGGTTCATCACTCCCCCCTTAGCAACAAGAGTTAGTTGGTGTCTTTTCTGTCAGTTATGGTTCCTGAGTTCCTCTGCCTTTGGCTCTTCTCCTGTTAGCCAGGTAGCTCAGCCTCTCCATTGTGTCCCCGTTTTTTTATCCTAATCACGTCTTCCCAGTGATAGCTTTTCTTACCTATCACTCTGAGCTTTGAGTTCTCATTTACTTTGTTTCTTTTCCATTTTCCCTTCCCATCACCAGCTTTCTAGTCTTTTCTTCTGTTTTCCCTTTGGATTCCAGGGGGAGTGAGAATCTTACCTGGCCAGTCAGGTACCATTTTCCTATTTGAGTGAGCCTTGTCGGCTAGCCTCTAGATTGGCTGACCTTGGGTCAGAACCCACCCCATTTCCCATCAGCTGTAGAAGCTTGATAGGTTTGGGGTGAGGAGTGGTAGGAGATAAATAGCATGGAGAAGGAAAGCTGTACTGGGGCTGCCTGACTGCTGATGAGCAAGTCCAGTGCTGTCATCCAGTCCAGGTCACAGTGGAGTCCTGTCAGTCCCAACACATTTTCTTTCCATTACTGAGTTGAGTTCACATGGCTTGAAAATGATTCTGTTTCGCTCCCATCTCTTGTTTAATGGTATGATTTATTGTGTTGCTACTTCCATGTTTAATATTTTTTGTGAGAAATCAGAATTTCTTAAACTGAGAGAGAAATGAGAAATTCTATTAAGAAAGAAAGAAAGAACAGTAAGAGAATATAATACAGTAGGAAAACCCTACTCCTGGATGACCCGGCAATGTTGCTAGCTGACATTTTGAAACTGTGGGACCGTGCTTGGTATGAAGGACTTAGCTGCTCTTGGGCATCCTCTTTGGTTTTTCAAGGCAGTCCTCTCTCTCCCCTACCCAACTAAAGTACCTCCTTTCTCTTTTGTCCTTTTCTTCCTGCCTTGTATTCCTTCATCTTTCTTAATTCTCCAGTAGGAAACTGAAAAGGGCAACTCAAAAGCTAAGAAGGAGTTATATAGGGGAGGGCTTGAGTGTGGCTGCCTCTAGCTGCCTAGAATAAATTTTTAAGCATAGAGGAGTATGAATGTTTATTTTATTAGCCATTTGAAGCTTTGAAAGCTGAGAAGGTTTTGAAGGAGGTGGGAAGATTGGGCTACGGGGAATGAGAGCAAGGAGCCAAAGAACGTGGAGTAGAGGGGACACCAGTCATTGCCACATTCTGACATGTCCTGCCTGGGTGGAATAGGAAGAGATGGCAAGCCCATGGTAGGGATGATGGATGACAGCATTTTTCCACCAAGAAGTGTAGCAAATGGCTGATTTGGGGGGCGAGATGGCATGCACAAATGAGAGAACATGTGTGTTTATTATCCGATATAGGTGGGTCAACGCTTCATTTTCTTCTCTCAATGCATATAATCAAGAATATTCTGTATTTTTGAATAGACTATCACAGCTGGAACTCCTTCATTGGAGTCTCTGGCACCCTCTAGTTTTAGCCCTGAACATTTTATCTTAAAAATAAACATTTCATTGCCTTAATTTGTTTCATTTATTAAATTAATATTCTTATTTTTTTATTTATATCAGCTTCTAATCAGAGGACTATACAAGCTCCTAGGGTAAGTTAAAGTTTATTAAATGAATTGGGAATGATCTCTTGGTGGGTTAGACTGAGGAGTGATAATTGGAATATTGAACTATTTTGCTCTCTGTTTCATGTAACATCAAATTAAGAAAATGTTGAAGTCGTTTCATGACCTTTGTGTGAATGGGTCCAATTCTATTTTAAAACATATGTTTGCTCATTTAAGTATTAATGGGGTGGAATAAATTATTATATAAAATTGTACTGACTTCTCATATCCAGAATTGGAAAGTTTATGAGTAGGAATAATGGTTGTTATTTCTTCCATCAGAAGGAAGCTGATTCCAATATATTACCTCACCTTTTGGATCCATTTGATGTAAATACACAAAACGATAGTTTCAGGCTTAATGAGGAAGAGAAATTTATATTAAATTGACATCATTAAAATCATAATTTATAAAATGAATGTAAATATTGCTGAAAAATCTGAGTTACTATCTACCCCACACCATTTTATAAACATTTTTCTTCCTGAAAACTATACTGCAGGTTTCACCGTACTTTGGATATTTTAATAAGCTCTCTGAGAAAATTCCAAAAACAAGGAACAAATTTAGGAGAGGATGAATGAGGAGAAAACTATCTTGATAAATATAGACTCATCACAATGACAGACCCAGAGCTCTTTTATGGAAATAAGATCTAGAGAGGACTATATTATACTCAGCTTCCTATAAAGACTGATGATGGATCTACTTGGACTCCCAGAGAGAGTCTCCTGTCTGTGGCAGGAAGTGCTCCTGAGTCTGAGGAGCCTCCGCAGGCATGCCAAAGGGGCAGGCTGGCTCAGGGTGTGTTTGTTTCACCTCGGCTGTTTATTCTAAAAAGATCACTGCCATAGCTACCCGGTCACAAGCAGCCAGTGGTTTCTAAAGTGCCTCTTAATAAAAAACCCAACCGCTGTACCTTTAAATCCTAACAGTTTTCTTTCTCCCATTGCTGAGTTCATTTTGCCAACTTGAAAATGATTCTGATTTGCTCCATTCTCTTGCTTAACTGTATTATTTGTTCTGCTATTGCTGTGTACATACTTGCACTTCAATATTTTTGTGAGAAGTTAGGATTTTCTGAACTGAGTAAGGTGGGTGTGGTAGGAAATTCTGCATAGGAAAAGCATATTAAGAGAATAATACAATTATTACCAAACTACCAGCTCAACTTGGCGAGCTTTGCTTCAGCCCTTACTGCCTTATTTTGGTTTTAGATGAAAGGATTCACTGTTTACTGTATAGTTTAATGTTAGAATATGTAAGTTTTAGTATATAAGGACATGAAACAAATTATATTTTATGTAAATATATTTTAAATATTTTACAGAAAGCTGTAGAGGAACCACTTAATGGTATGTAGTTATTACAAACTTGTATATTCTTGATCTATTATCAGATCATAATTTGAAATGGCCCTTGAAAAAGTTAGAATGCCCATCTATTTCTTGAGAGGGGTCTAGGGTTTGGTTTGGTTTGGTTTTTCCCTTGCATTGTCCTCTTTTTCTTTGCTTATTCATTAAGAATCAGGAGTATTGCTTTTGTAATATTCTCACCTCTGGGAAAAAAAGGATCATGCTTTGTCCCTCAAGGAGTTGGTTTACCTTAGCCAAGTGGTATTTGGGCAAGAACACCATTGCCCTTTTATGTGGGGCCAAAATGAAAAGTGCCATGGCACCCCCTTAGAGGAGAATCTTATTCCCAATTTCTAATTTGTAAACTTCAGAAAAATGCAGGTCATCACTATGTAGTGAGACCAGACCAGAACATTTTGTTGTCTATGTAGATCTGAAACTGTATTCCCAACTGAATCTGTTTCCCTAGTGGATACTGTAGGTGTGAACCACAGAAATGCTTTGCAATAAAAATGATAGTCTTAAAGTTCATTTGGCTGTGTAATTGTAGAATAGTTGGCATGCTGTTGCTGCATGTTTGTTTTGAAATGATTTCTAATTGTGGATCCTTACTAACTGCCTCTTTGGCTTGTTACTAACCCTTAGCGTTTAAAGAATCAAAAGGAATGATGAATGATGGTAAGTATAAAATATTCCTGTAATTACAGATTGATTGAAATGTGGATATTGAAAAGAAATAAAAATACTTCTTGAAAATATGACTTTCTTAAATAAAAGGGACACTGTCAAATCATAAAAGTCCACCTTTCTTGATGGATAAAACTTAAATCTGTTTTGCTAAAAAACTTAAACATAAGAGTTGTAGGGCCTCAAGAATCAGAGTCCACAGTCACATGGCTCAGAGCAAAGTGAAATCGCCCCTTTTTGTAAGACATGTTTCAGATTCAGCACCTGGTATCTAACTTTAAAAATGCTTTTTATAAGGCACAGACATAATCTGGCACAAATCTTTATCATTTTTGACAGAGTCTCTTTTATGCTTGTGTTGGTGATTTTGTGGCATCTCAACCATGGGGACTTAATATCTCTATTTTTCCAAGCAGGAGCTGGTTCTGACCTTTTGGTAGAGGGTTACAGAGAAAGGCAAAGAACAATGTTTAGTCACTCCCACTTTCACTTCTATTTTTGGAACTCTAGACTAATATAACCTCTAATCTTCATGGAATACTTCAAAGACCTGGATTTGTTAAATTTTAAAGATAACCAAATCTGAAACATCAAGTGCTGCTAGCGTTCATTTTGGTTTTCCCTGCATATGCTGCAATCTTCAGGTCCACTGGCATTTAGTAACTGTGTTTATATTTTTTCCTTATTTCCAAAAATGTCTTCACATCTTCGATATTTGCAATCATTCCCTGATTATGTCAGTGATTTGCTTTACAGTTTCAAAAGCCTATGACCTGCCCGCTCACCTCTAAACAGCACAGCATTTAACACAGGAGGGTTTGTTCCCCTGGTTACAATAAACTTTTGCATAAGATTCAAACACTCCAGTCATTGTTGAACCAAATTTAAAACAATGTTTAGGCTTCTGTTCACCCAGGAGCCACTGAATGATCCCATTTCTGTAGGTTTGTACCACAGCCTTTAAATCAGGTTTTGTTATGCAAGTCCCTAGCTCCTAAAACAATTATAGTTAGTAGGAAGAAATTAAAAGACATTTGAAAAGATCCGTATCTGGAATTATGGCATCTTTATTCATGCTTAAATTCTGGCTTCTCAACTCCTTTGTTCTCTCCTACTGTGGTGTCATTCTGTAGGAAGAAACTAAACTTTTCTCCATTTTCAGAAAACCAGTATAAGATCCTTGAGTGGCATCTTTCTTTGTGAACTTTCCCTTAAAATATAACTTTTGCCTTGAATTTTTGTTTGTTCATAGCAGATGAAATCTATGATGGCCTTTGAAATGTGCTTAATTTTGTTAATATTAGCTGGTCAGAGTTTGTTTTCTGGATGTCTCTCTGGCGGGTTCTGTCTGCTGACACCCGCCTGATTGATGCTCCTAGCATATCTACCCTTCTGGAAAGAGGTCCCCGTCCCTGCCTAGGGTGTTCCTCCTACCTGTACCTATCATGTTTATTTCACTTACATTAGACAAATTGTGTAGATTTAAAGTGAATGTAATGGAATATTATTCTAGGATTAGTATTCTTTTCTTTGAAATATCAATATTTTGGCTTCTTTAACTCAGCCAACAAAGGGAGATCATCAGACTATTGATTTTTATTTTCATTTAGCATTGACTGCATTTTATTTACCAAAACTGAAAAGGCTAATGATTTGCCTGGTTTCTGTCTATGGCCTTTGTAGACATATTTTCTTTATTTTGAAGATACTGTGTATCTAAAAAACAGTTCCAAATTTTAAAAATGCATCAACTTCTTAATGCACAGGAAATAGACATGAGTAGTGACCATATGTTCGTGTTTCAATTTTCCAGAGTAACTGAAGTGAAGTGAAGGACTCTGGTTTGGAGAGTCATGGAACCTGAAGGAGTACACTTGTATTTAAAGACCCCGGCCTTGATGATTCACTCTTGGGAAGAAGAAAAAAAAAAAAAAAGAAAAGTAACTGGTACTCGTCTGTAAGAGAAAATAAGTCATTGACCCGTAAATGATTATCACAGTTTTTATTCAAAACAACTGTAATTTAGTTAATAAAAGATTTATGATCTGTGTCGTGTGCCCGGTTGAGATCCAATTTTCTGTTATTTCTATTTAATTGGGGACAAAAGTAGAGGGAGCAACTTCCAAGGATGATACTTTCCATATCCTCGGGCCTCTGGACTCTGGGTTTAAATTGGTTCAGGGTGAGAATGACCTAACACTAACCTGATGGTCACCCAGAAACATCTGTGAAAATCAGTGGCTTCCATCCAAGCTTAGTAAACTCAGGTTCCCAGCATCCATGGCAGTTAGGCTGTTAGCTGAATAAGGTGTCTGCCACTTCTGGGTCGGGAATAGTGACTTAAGTGGAGACAGGAATTTGGTTGGGAACATCATGTATGCCACTTACCTGTGCTATGACGTCACTGGATATAGGGGTCTTCATTCTTGGGGGTTGCCATTCGCAGAGTGTCCCTTCAGCCTACAGTGTGACAGATACTTCCCAGATATGGGTTGCTTTTATTGACGGGTGTGTTTTTCTTTAATTTACACAACCCTTGGGACCCTTCCTTGCCCTCCTCTGACTCGCTTCTGCTGTACCCGATGTAGCACCTTTTCTCCTCTCTGAACATGGTCCAGTGACGCAGTAGCATCAGTTGCAGAAAGGAGCCAGACTTGTTTTCAGAGCACTGTGTTCACACTTTTCGGCAAAAATAGCTATGGTTGTAACATATGTATTCCCTTCCTCTGGTTTGAAGGCAAAACTCTACGGTGTTTCTTCACTTATTTTCTGATTGGAGGCATGACAAAAGCAAGACTGAAATCTGAACTGTGAGTCTCCTGCATGGCAACCTTCTGTGTGTCTCCATCAGGCCGTGGGCCAGCCCTCGAGGGGGGCGCTCCTCCTGTTGTGTCTCTGTTGCATGATAACCACTCATCTGCTTCCTCCTGTAGTCCTGCCTCCTGCTCCCCCTCCCCTGAGATTGAAAAGTAAAACAGAACCACATTTCCTACCCCAGTTAGAAGAAAAAAATAACGTTCTGACAGTGTGATCGCCTGGAGTACTTTTAGATTCTTAGCACTCGTTTTTTACCTGGTTTGTGGATGTGTGTTTGTATGTGCACATGTATAAGGTAGGCTCCTGCTGCTTCTGTAGGGACAGAAGTGCTGTACCTACAGGAGAGCCAGTGCTGACTTTGTGCTTTTAATAAAAACATTTAAAAACAAAAGGTCCTTATCAGGTGGAATTATATTTGATGCAAATATTTGATCACTTAAAACTTTAAAAACTTCTAGGTAATTCGCCAAGCTTTTTGACTGCTCACCAATGCCCTCTAAAAATACTAGTGATTCTTCCTGTTTGTGTAATGAGACTTTCATATTCGTAGTGCCATCACTGATAGTTATTTCTTAGTCTCCTGGATGTTTCCATGTGCCTCTTTTATGCCAAATTTATTGTCATATTTCACGTTGGGACCAAGTGGTTTGCCCATGGCAGACCTAAACTTATAACCTGCTGAGGCCCCTCAGAAAATTGAACATACTATCAAAACAGTTCTTCCCTGATTGAGTAGCTGTCCAAAATATTAGTCTATGGAGAGGGAGCTGTATTTCTTTATACAAATCTAATGGCTCCTGCTGCTCTTCTCCTGAAAATATTTGCACTTTGCTAATATCGTTTGTTACTTTAGAAATTAGTTTTGATGAAAAGAGCAAAAAAAGCAGATGGACTTGAAAAAGATCCAAATTCTTATTCTCCATTAAGAAAATCAGGTATGAAAATCTTTATAGTAAAATTTTTTAATGAACTAAAGTTGTACCTTTTAATATGTTGTAAACTCTCCTTTATTTGGGGTTCAGTCTCAAGTCTGACCATCTGTTGTGTTCTCTTTGATGCTACCTGCCTTTTGAGGTGTTCACTGCCCCAGACAATGCCACTCGAGGTAGCAGGGGAAATGCCAGACGCAATCAACTCTTGCTCTTAACCATCCTCTTCTCCAGCTAAGGGACCACAGCAGCAGCAGTCCTTCTGCCTGGGCATCATTGGGACAGTTTATTCTCTTTAAATCAGACTTGTAATGGCTCCCAATTCTGTCACATCAGATATAACTTGCTAACAGTGTTTTGAGCATCATAGATTGTTTTGCCCCATAAGATGCTTTTTACTCCCTGATCCCAATTTTTGCCATCATCTTCTCCATTCGGTTTTATTTATTCTACATTCTCAAAGTGACACCATTTGTCATTTTCTGCAACAACCTTTTCAGCCTTTTTGGCCAAATCACATTTTTCTTTTCCTTCAATACATACTGCTCCAGCCCTTCCTCCCCCACTGGCTGTCCTTTGCAGTCTGTCCTCATCTGTCTAGCAGCCTCTTTCATCTCTTTCTTACCCTTCCTTAGTACTTCATTTATCTTGGCTTTAGTTATGTCGGGGTTTTTTGTCTTGCTTTTCTCACTGGATTTTAAAATTGCTTCCATAGCAAGAGCTTCTCTCTCTTCCTTTCTCTCTTGCTGCTGTGTGCGGTGTTCTGCGGACATTAGATACTCCGTACATAAGTTTGATGATTGGCTGTATTTCGATTTCTCACTATTTTTAATAGGGTGAGCTAGAGACTTTTCTTTTTTGACAAATTGCACATGCTCGGAAAACCTTAAAGGGAAATGATTTTTTTTTAACCTGGAAATTTCAGGTCCATTCTGTTAAAAATTCTTGAGAATATCAGAGTTAATTTGGCTATCCCATAATTGGGAGTATTGCTCTTTTCAGACTTCTCTTGCCAATTTAGTAAGTGTCCGACCGAATTGTGATCTAATAAAGCTCAAAAAGTGATAAGTTTGCTCCTTCATCTCATTAATTTAAAAAAGGCTACATCACCTTCTAGATGTCTCTCATCTTACAAAGGGTGTTCAAAAGTGGCGATAGGTGGTTTATGTCTGGAAATACATACCTTTATTTACCTCTTGTTGGAAACTGGAGAAATAATTGTCTGGCTACTCTTTACATTTTCTTTGTGTTTTATTTGATTGAGGGTTTATTTAGAAATATTAGTTTTGCATGTGTGTCTTATATTCAAAATCACTAACTGCCATCACCCACTGGGGGTCCTTTTAGTTTAATAGGGATAATCCAAGTTAACTTTGAAGAGATGAGCAGTGACCAGGAAGTTTTCCTGCCTTTAACTTTGATAGCTCTTAATTATGATCCTGTAAGACCAGCTTTTCCATAAATCCAGTCTTTTAAGGAAAAAAATAAAGCAAGCCTTTGTAATAAGCTTCTCTGTAAGACAACAGCAGTGGAATCTTCAAAGTGTTGTTATCAAGATTGTTGAGAGAGGGAAACATTTTTGTTTTTATTAAATGAAGCATTATTTGCAAAAAGCCATTGTTAAGAAGTAGATCCTGCATCATACAAATATCCATTAACCATTCTCAATAAAGAGAACTCTGGTGTTGCTATGTGTTAGATGCTCTCTTGGGGGCTTTTTTGCATAGCAATTAAAGTTGTGCTCTTTGTCAGTAGCCATTTTTTTGCAGTGATTTAAAGACCAAAGTTGTTTTACAGCTGTGTTACTGTTAAAGGTTTTTTCTTTTTTTTATATGTATTAAATCAATTTATCACTGTTTGAAGCTTTGAATATCTGCAACCTTTGCCAAGGTTCTTTTTTTATTTAAAAAAGACATAACTTTGTAAATATTACCCTGTAATATTATATATACTTAATAAAACATTTTAAGCTATTTTGTTGGGCTGTTTCTATTCCGACAGCAGACCACATGAACATTTCTGAGAAATTTAATTCATTAATATACCTTCAATTTGTCCATATTCTATGTATCAATGCAAAGATGTTTTTTTTAATGTAGTACCCAATACATAAACTTTTAGCTGGAGCAAAGTTCTAATTAGAAGTTGTAAGAAGTCAAATGTATTTGATAATTTTTAATTAATTTTCCCCATGGTATAGTGAAAACATCACATGAGAAAGAAAGAGACCTGGATTCTAGTCCTGGCAATACTACTAACTAGCAGAGGACCTGGGCAAGCCTCTTGCCTGTGCCACAGTGACTGTGATTGCCTATGGAATAAGATAAGCCTCTGCCAGGACTGAACTATTATGTTATCCATTTTAATTGGTTGTTAGGATTATTTTTACTGCAAGTGAAAGAAAATACACACACACACACACACACACACACACTCTAATGTAGCCAAAAAATTCAGATGCACAACTGGATTCTGGACCTCCAAACCAAATCATAGGGAACCAGTATCTCATCAGCCTCCCACTTTTCTCACCTCCATATGGCCTTCCTTCCCAGGTTTCTGCGGTGGTAAATGACTAACTGTAGTCCCAGACCCACCTTTTCCTAGTCAAGGAGAATAGAGGGTGAAAGGAAAACAAAGGGGTCCTGTCCACTCGAGATTGCACCTAGGGCCTCTGACTGTATCAATGCCATCTCTGGATCACTGAGACTTGCTGTGACTGGACCAGCCTAACTTCCAGATCTAGCCTTCAGTAGAAGCTGTATCTGCAGCACCCACACAGTGCTGAGTGGGGGTGGAAGGCAAGGACAAGTTCACCTGAAGCAAAGATAGGGGATGGTTCCTAGGTGCTGAGATGTCATTAGATTTGAGGCACAGGATTCCTAGTCAGTGCTGCATCCCTTCAGATTTATATTCTATGATTCTGCATTTTATGTGTGATTGTAGACCATGTGAATGGAAAATAACATTCGGCAGCAGAGTACCATCTCTTTCCTTACCTCATAGGCAATTTAATTTTTTATGCATTTACAAGGACGTTTTCATTCTCAGCAGGAGTAACTAATGGGGTTCAGAAAGCATTTAATGACCTACCTCCTGCACTGAAAACTGCTCTCTCTTGCACAGAACTGTACTCAGCCTGATTAGAACTCCCACGGAGCTGTAGGCTTCCAAATGCAGCTGGATTTCACTTTTGTGTGGCACCTTTCCATCCCAAGGCATCAGGTTTGACAACTTTGGTAAACAATAGGTTATGGTAACATCATCCAGGTAGGACATGATTTTGGCAGTAGCTTGGGGATTTGAGTGGCAGTGTTTGGCTATTTCAGAACTCACACACCCAGTCTTTATTTTTCTTAAGCTTTAAGCTCACATATCCATCCATCAAATCAGTGGGAAATGAAGTATTTAACCCTAAATTATGGATAATTTGACTGATTAGTTAATGTTGAAGACAGCACTATGGATCGAATAGAAGTAATCAGAACTCTACTACTTACTTAGCAAGTACTTATTTAGTCATGTAGTTAGCAGGCAGCAACTTCTCACCTCTGAGAGTGGAAAAAAACAAGTATAGTTCCCCAATTTGGATGATGAGAAACTCCGGGTAAGCATTTCTTCTAATTTGGAGATAAATGTTTTCTAAGTCTGAAAACTGCAGTCTGCTGTCAGTCTTGATGACAGAATGGCAACAACATTGCCAGCTCTTTTAATGAGCAGCTATTACATCACCCGTACCATAGTAGTACTAGGCTTTCTGGAAGTCTCTACTGGAAAAAAATAATAATAATATTTGATCAGAGATCTGTCTTTAAAAAAAGAAAAAATCTTATAGTTTTGTTTCCAGATTTTATTTGGGTTGCCAGAGAAATTTCTCCATGTTAAAGCATGCTAAAGCAACATCCTGTAAGCTGTTAGCCTTTTAAACAAATGGATTGTTTTAAAAAATTAAGCATGTTGCTTAAAATACGGTATATAATTTCCATGGAGCTCTCTATTTTGGGGGGTGTATCAGTTAAGATGCACTAAATTTAGAGTGAACTCTTACGTGTACATACATCATCATGAATGCAATAGATTTTTGTGGGGAAATATAATTTTGGCATGTTCAGGGCAGCTGGAAGTACTAGAACCCTTGCTCTCTCCACAGCTGCCACCTCCTCCCTTAGCAGGAACAGCTTATCCCACCGCCTTGGGTGAGAGCCCTGTGTGGCTCACCTCCAACCCCACCTCCTAGGCAGCTCTTTCTAGGAATGTTTCTCACTCTCCAAGGAATTTCCACCCCCAGATCAACCAGACGTTTTTAGAATGTGATGTTCATAAGCCTCACTTTGGCAAGTTAGCAGATGCATATATTTGGTTACCTGAAGAAACCTTTCCTTATTGCAGTGTTAATCAAGTGTACTTCATAGTTGGATTGGTTAGACATATATCTTGAATTTTCATATTTTATAATCCTGGGCTCAATAGAACCCATGTCTCCTCACACCTTTAGATATGCCTAGCTTATCGATGGGAATTATTCTAGTAATGACTATGACTAAATGGAATGGAAAAGAGTACCCTGGATCCTGTGCAGGAATATATTTGAAAGCATCAAGTATTAATTTTTCTTACTCTTGATTAAAGAAAGTGGTTAAAAAATGATGGAACCTTTATTCTTTAAGACCATTGGTAGATCGTGGAGGCATTTATTACTTGTCTAAAAGAATTGTACTTGAAGTCATAGCCAAAACAATTCCAGTTAAGTTTTTTCAAAAGCATCACATTTAGTAAGATTAAATATTCTTGTATTATTTTTTGTGTCTCTGGAAAAGTATGAAATACCTTCTTTAAGAAAAACATTTGGCTAAAGGGTTTGGCTGGAGTTTGTTCACCACATCTTATCTTTTGATGTTCTGGGTAGAATTGTTTCTCTCTATTTTATGAATAGACTAGACTTAAAATAGAGAAACCAACAAGATTTTTGCCACTCCTCCAAAGCAGCTGGAATCTCCAAAGCACTGTAGAGCCAGTTTGCAGAGCCCAGGTGACCTCAGGAATCCACAGGGTCTGGTCTTTGCAATCCTGCAGGAAGGATTTCAGATGACTTGTGCAGAGTAACAGGCAGGAATATTAGAGAGGGTGAGAGTAGGAGACCACCTCTGGGGGAAACAGCAGCAGCTCTTACAAGAGCATGGGTTTTTAAGGGGTTTAGATCCCTTTGTTCTTGCCTTATTCTCTCATAATCCCGCTTGTGATTGTCCTTTGTTATTTTGTATAGCCCTCAGCAATTTTCTTTGTGAGGGTCGGTCCTGATGACCTGGTCATAAGAGGGGGTTATAATTATGGCTGGGGGAGGTTTGACATATCAATTCCCATTTTTTCAGATATTTGTTCACTCTGATAAAATTGTCTTGTGATTCTCATTCCTTTGACTAATGGACTCACTTTGATATGTATGTTTGATGTCCTTCCTGTAAGTTATCTCCCTTTATTTTAAAATAAGTCATCTCCCCACCACCCATCTGCTGAAGGCTGACTTTCTACCTAATACAAAGGAGTCCTGAAGTGATAGGCCTCAGAACAGATTCTTCCTGAGAGAAGGGGCCTCCAGGGAGGCCACTCATTTGCTTTAACGTGTGCTAATGAGGCTGGTGTTACCACTCCACCCCCACCTGAGCCAGTTTGTTGCTTATTTATGTGGCTCTATCCTGTTCCTCAAAGGACTTAAAGAGTTCCATTTGGGTCACGCTTGCCACTGAGAGAAACTGCTTCCCAGGATCACAGGCACTCTGAGGCTCGTGGGCTCCAGGGCATGGGCGTGGGAGGAGAGCAGAGCAGTGTGGGTAAACGGCTCAAGCAAAGCCTGGTCTCTGACTGCTTTGCTCAAAGCAATCAGGACACAGAGGTTGAGAGATTCATTTACTCATATAAAGGATTCTTTTTTCATGTTTCCCTTGAGAAACAAAGCCATCACAATAATTTTCACCATACACAGAAAACCAATATAGATTTAAAAATGAAACCAAAATTCCTGAACCCACACATTGGAGACCCTGGATTCTTTCCAGATCCAACTGCCAGTGGCACAGGAGCTGATGAAACATTTTATGAGTATACCTGCCCCCCTCCTCCAGGGTATTTTTATTCTTCCAATTGGAGATTAAAAATAAGGTATGGCCTCTCCAGGTGAGGAGGGAGAGAGCAGCATGTGTTCTTCAAAAGACTCAATAAGATAATAGATTTTTTAAAAAGCTATTGCTGAGTGTAACTTACTTAGAGTTTCAAAGGGCTTTTTTTTTTTTTAATGAAATCTTTGTAAGCAATAGTAAAGAAATCTAGAACCCCTGGGGTGATGGTTAGAATCCTGTCAGGGATTTAAATCTAATTATTAGCCTGAAAGTAGAGAAAGAAGGGCCCAGTGTCAGCCCAGAAAACAATAATAGCCACAGTGTTGTTCAGCAGCCCAGTTACTAGTGCCCCAAAGGGCGGTCCCACACATTTGCTCTTATCCTTGAAAGGAGGCCACAGGGGCTTCAATGTTTCCTGATAATAGGTTCTTCTTCTAGTAGTAAAGGTAGCTTCCTCCGCATCTAGATCTCTTCCCTGCTAGATCCTGATAGGAGACCTCGGAACCCACTCTACCTGCAGGCACTTAAGGACACTGTGCTCAGCAGGTGCCAGAACCCTAGCCCTACCAGCTAGGTGACTTTGCACAACTTAGCTAACTTCTCTGTGCCTCAGCATCTTCATTTGTAAAAATTGAGATAGAATGTGAAGACAAATGGGAAAAGGCAAATAAAGTAGCTCAGTACTTGGCTCACAAGTTACTTCTTTTTCTTCTTATACACGGGCCAAGGTAGAAAAAACTAGCATGAAGGGGTATAGAGATGAGCATAACATATACTGAAATATATGTTTTCCTATGTTGAGTTATGATCAGAGAAGCAAATAGAACATGAAATGACCAAGAGTGTAAAAATAACAAGTA